GAGAGAAAACACTTTGAAATTATCGGATTTTCAAGATAACGTAAAACTAAACAATACCGATCGATAGGAAACGCTTCGAAATTTCAGCCCATAACTCCCTTAACTCACCCCCACACTCATCCTCCCCCTTTCTCTACGTATACTCTTAGAAAATATCCGAGAGAATAAGGGATGAAAATAAAATGATGGGAAATATGATGGAAATAGTAAAAATAGAAAACAAAAAATGTAACGATGGAAAAATATAATAGTAGCCGTTGGTTGTTTGTATTTTTCTTACTAATCGAAGAAAGATTTACAGGATTTAAGTTAAAAAAAAATCGTAAAATAAAATAAAATAAAGAGAAAGAACTTTTTTTGAACTTGTCTGAAAGATGAGAAAAAAGAATTGAGAAATAAAAAGAAAAGGAAAATTTTCAACAGGGGGTTTAAAACACACGCAATCGAAGGAAACATTTTTAAGGGTTGTTACGATTCGTGTACCACGATACGACATAAGCGGCTTATCATGGCTTTACACAAACACATTCACATACACTTACATACACACATATATATTTGACCAAAAAAATGATATCAATACGAGAAGACATTTTTATAATACAATTTCTTTTGAAACGTGTCGAATATTACGTTAGTGTGAACTTTTATTATACATCGTGTAAATAAAAGAAAAAAATATATTAAATAATGAATTAAAGAAAGAGAAAGAAAATGATGATAAGTAATATAATAAATTGATTTTGATAACAAAGTATAATAAACAAATACTATAAACAAATCAAATCAAATTAGAAAGCATGAAATTTCAATCAAATTCGTGGATAAACAATAAGAATATTAATAATAATCATGATGAGTCAATGTCAAACGATATTGTAACTAAAAGACAAATTAAGACTTTAAAAGAAAAATCATCCTAAGATAAAAAAAAGGGATTTCTATTTTTTTTTCTTTTTATTTTTTTTTTTTTTATGTTAAAACCTTCTCTTGAAAAAGAAATTCCAATCGAGAAATACGATTCGCCTTTCAAAGTCACGGCCGATCGGAAAACTCTTATTCCATTTCAAAGGAAATTCTGCTTATGTCGTAGTCGCGTTGTAAAAGAGTAAAAGAGTAAAAGAGAAAGAAAGAGAGAAAAGGAAAAATGAAAAAAAAAAAAGAAAACGAAAGAAATGGAGTAAGAGGGAAGGAAGGGTCCATTAGGTTATTCCGTTTACAAGAATAAAACTACGTTTCATATTCCATCGATATGATGATGGTCTTTCATCTCGGTTATGTTTCTGAACGAATTTTCCAACACGAAAATCATCTTTAAGTAACTTACCCCTTTTTTCCACTTGTTTTTTTTTTTCAATAGTTTTTATTATTATTCTTAGGAAATAAACGACGTTGAACTATTTTTATATATCATAGAAAAAGAAAAAGAAAAAAATAAAAAGAAGAAGAAGAAGAAGAACATGTCGAATATTCTCTCAACAACGTGACTTTACTTACATGTATTTAAACATACATATATGAACAAAAATATAGATGATACGTATTCTAACTTTTACATACATGTACATACAGATACATACAGATAGATATACATGTACATACATGTACATATACATAAACATAACTTATATCTACTTATCTCGAAATTTATTCTCATCTCGTGTTTCTTTCGAAAAATATATTCCCTTGGAATGTGTGTATATGTGTGTATATGAGAATGTATGTTCGTTGAGAAAAAATTTATTGGTTTGTACCAGTTAGCTGTGTAATAGTAGTAGTAGAAATAGTAGTAGTAGTGGTAGTGGTAGTTTCAGTGGTAAGCCACGAAGAAGATGGTTTGTGATGGAACACGTATAAAGATGAATGCTTGGTACTTCTATTGAAAAATTCTAAAGAAAGGAAGGAACGAGTAGTATTAGATATAACTTCAAGCTATATCAGGCTACGTATGTAATATATATATACATATATACAGTTTTTTGTTCAATTATTCAGAATTTCCTTGAAGATTTATTAAATGACCGATTTATCGATCGTCGATCTAATTAAAATTATTTTCATGATAATCTTTGTAGAT